TAAAAGTTCATGCGTTTGTGATGATAAAACTGATATTCCATGTCTGTTGTTTCATGGGTCAAAGAGCTCCGCCAACGTGGCTCTTCAAGCCTGAATGCAGTCTGTCGGATTTAGCAGACCTGCGCTCCGAGCTAAAGCAGATTCAGAATTGTGTTGCAGTCTCCTTTTTTTCAAAGCCCATGTCATGGTGTTGAGACAGCTTATCAGATCCCCATCTAGAAATAGTCCCCCACATAAAGCGGACCTGTTTGTCCTTTCACGTTCCACAGAGTGTCAGAAAATGAGACAGTAGTGGAAATTTTCCATTCCCCTCTGTGACAGGCAGGATAATTGGCTTTCAGTCACATTTACTCCGCTGGAGAAGCTGGTGCTTTTTTGGGGGGGCTGAGGTTTTCATAAAGTGCTGTGACACATCAGCTGAAGATGACGCAAAGCTATGGGGGGATGTACGTGGAAGACCATGTGATTGGGTGAATTTGCAGTGTTTTTAGGGCTGAGGGCTTCCTCAGTCATTAAACTGGTGGCTATCATGTATAAAGTAGATCACCTGGTTCACACAGCTAGACAACTGGTTCCCTGAGACAACTTTATTAGAGCGCTTGCCTTTCACTCATCCTTGCATTAGAATGAATCATCAAACTGCAGCCATGGCAGTAAGATAATCATTTCTTCAATAGTCAATTTCATGCAGGAAGGCACCTTTAATTAATTATCTTTAAAGGTCACAGGCGGCAACCTCCGGGTTTAAGAGGGAAGCCAATGATGAAGTGTCTTAAACTTACATTCTTTCTTCTGGCCATGAGAGGGCGATTCCTCTGGTTGCACAACTAAATCTGATTGAATAAAAGTCTATGAAAAAATGACTCTACTTCTAACTTAATTTATTACTTCAGTAAATATGAGTTTGTGGGCTCAATCTCAAGTCTTCTTCACTACAGCATGATGTTCATTTAGTAAATTTTAGTAAAGGGCTACCTTGTGATTGACAGGCCGCTACCACGGCATTGTTTAATCTGGAAGTTGTCCGTGTTTTCGTGTTACAACTTTAACCCCTTTCACAGTGTGTTTTCAGTTCATGAAAGTTAACTAACAATTTGGTTGCCTAAAACTGTTAGTTAGTCAGCATTCAGTTGTGCTCAGCTCCACCTTCTCGTGTCACCTCTGGTTGCAAAAAAAACAACAAGATGGTCAAGGCCAAAATCCAAGATGACTTCACAGCTGTAGTCCACAAACCAATATGGGACATCGCGGTGATTATGTCCACTTTTTGCTTACAGTCTATGCTGCAGTTGGCCAAGTCTTGTCTGGTTTCTGGTTTCGTAGAACGGGGCATGACACTGGGCTCAAATGTTTCTCGTCTTGAACATTTGTGGAGAAAGCAGCGACAATCTACAGAGCACTCTGCATTTAAAAGATACAACTACTTCCCACTGCACAAAAAAATCTGTGGCTGTTGCATGACCGTAATTTTGTTTGGCCCAAATTAAATGATTGTGACTTTTGGAGCTAGCTATAGCTACTTTCTTTGGAAAAGGGTTGGTAACACTGGGCTGGGTTTTACACTCAAGGACAGGCTGCACATTCAAGCCACAATCGTTTCCTCCATGGGAACTTTGCCCGGCCCAGAGCTCTCTGATTTGCCTCTCCTGTCAACTCCTCTGTTTTTTTTACTGTCTTTTTTTTCCCCATGACTTTAATCATCTCTGTGACTGATGGCGCTAAAACACACTTTTACTAAATGTTAATCTCATAACCATTTCATCTGACAACACACAAGCTGCGATACCTTTTAGCCAGCAGTGATTTATTCATGGCTGGAGTAATATTGCTTTTCAGCGTGGCCCATTTCCTCGAGTCTCATGGGATGTCATATAACGCTCAACTTATCACACCAGCTCTGAGAGAGAGAGAGAAAGAGAGAGAGAGAGAGAGAAAGAAAGACAGAAAGAGAGAGAGAACTTTGAATACATTGAGAGACCACTTTACATGTTATTGCCTCTTAGAGGCATTTCCCCGATGATATAAACCTCTAAATTGCAAAGTGAAAAACCTGTTAATGTTTCGGCGCTCCATCCTCTGCCACTTTTAAAGTCAATCAGTTAGCACACAATCAGTATTCCCCTCCACTCATGAGCCATACATGGGTGAGGAGAGACACCGGGCTATCACGTTTCCACAGTCTCCTGTCAAAGATACCCATTAAAGAGTCTTTATTGAGCCCAGAACCATTACCAACAAAAAAGGTAATCCAATTGTCTCTACTCCTTTTTAGTATTTCTTTTTTTTTTTATGGTGTCCTCTCTCCATCTCTCCCTCGCTTCTCGTCCTCTCTGAGCTATTAGTTGAGCACGATGAGGCAGAGAGTTTGCACACGAGAGCAAATATCACATTAGACGAATGACAACAAACAAAGAGCATCATTAGTAAACACGCGTAATACGGATGGCTTCACATTTAAGTGGGCTTTCAAAGCTTTCTCTCACTCGCTGGATTTGCTGACTGGCTGCTTCCCCAAATTATCTCATAATGTGGCTCGTCCACTGTGCAATTGCAGCCTCCACTCTTCTGGTTTCAGGCGACCCGACTGCAGGGATTCGCTCCCATTCGGCTACCACAGCATTAGTGAGGTTAGACGCTGGCGTTGGATGATGAAGGTCCACCGTTCATCCCAAAGGGGTCAGATGGGGTTGAGGTCAAACCATTTCTTTATGGACCTGGCTTTGTGCACAGAAATAAGAACAGACATCCCCAATAATGTCTAAATATAACTTTAGATTCTGCAGTATTACGATTCAGATTAGGCCTCATCCCTGTGTTACAGCTTTGCAACTTTATGATAAACTCAATTTCATTTGGAAAAAAAATGTCGCCATTTACATTCAAAATCATGTTATAGTGTAAGGAGTGTGTTTTATTATTGTGCCTCGCTGACATGGTGACACAGCCTCTGAAAAAAGTAAACGCCTCACAAAAGTTTTTCTTTAAAAGGCGATTATATTTGATTGCATGACAAACGTAAACTACTGTTAATTATGTTTATTTCTATCATAAAGAATGAAACTAAAGAAAAATCCACCATTTCAAATAACAGTGACTAGAGCTCTGACCTATAAGAGAACCATTGGAGGAATATGACAAAGTACATTAACTCAAGTACTGTGGCCTACTTAAGTACTAATTTGAAGTACTTGAGTGTTTCGATATCAAGCTACTTTGTAGTTCTACTCCACAACATCTCAGAGGTAAATGTTGTACTTTTTACTCTACTTTGGCAGCTTAAGCTACATTTTTTTTATGACAGTTTTTCATTCCCTTCCCGTCCAGTGAAAACCACAAGCTACTTTTGAATGTTTCTGATAAACTGAAGGATGAAGTGTTCCTTTATGTGTTGAGACAACTCTACTACTTCTTGAACTAAATAAATTATTTAAAAAACCTCTTGGATCAGCAGGAAAAGGCATCGCCACGTAGCTGAAAACTGAGCTGTTTTTCTGAGCTCATGAAAAAGCTTTTTAGAGATGCATGGCTCTCACAGGACAATGACGCTACAAACATATGATTTTATAGAATATATGATGCAATGCTGTAGATTAAACCAGCCAAGATTTAAAATGAATACAACCATAAACATCTACAGCAGTGGGATGCAACATACACATCAATGCATTAGTGATTTTAGAACTAATTGACATAGCTAAAGCTTTGCAGATTATGTTTTCATAAAACACCTATGATGCGTTTAAAAAACACAACACAATGTTCAAATGTTCAATGGTCAAACTGCCCAACAGCATAGAAAGTAAAATTAACTCCACCACCAGCTACAACATTAAAAAGTTGCATGATTTGATGAATTAGAAATAATAATCCCATGATGTTATGAATTGTATGACAATGTGACATTGGCAGAGTACTTTCTGCTGCATAATGACCAATTTTACCTTTCATAGTAATACTTATGTATCAAGTTAATTCTGATGCTATTGCTGTTGTTTTACAAATATAAATTTGTTCACATGTACCAACTGTTATATCATGGTACTTACAATTAGGGGCACTCAACTGGTTTTACACTGAAGGTCTGTATACTTGGAGAGTACTGCATGTGTTAACAGTTGTATAAATTGTATAAAGTATAACACAGTAACCCTGGTGTCGTCGTGTTTATCCTAAAGCTGGAGACTTGATATATTTGACTGAAGACATGCATTTTAAACTGGGGATATGAAGTCTGAAAGATGCATGCATTTACTAGTCAGGGGAAGTTTAATGAAATACTCTTTTGAAGTACATTATGGGGAATTATATGCGTCTTGCAAGGCTCCAAACTTTATGGAGAGCAATTCTAAATCACATGAATGCTCCTTTAAATCATAGCGACAATACTTCCCAAAAATATTAAAAACAAAACAAACGTTTGACTGACAGGCTGCTGTATGGTGTCAATATACTATCATTTGTGGACCTCTGTCTCCACCGTGCGGTTGACGTTGGAATCACGTGCATGTTGAGTCCTGATCGATATCCAACGAGAAGTTATCTCTTTGGAGCGGTGAACGACTAATGCCGTGTTCACACCAAACGCGGAAAGAGTTTGGTGTGAACGCACCATAACTGGTAGAAATACACATTTACAATGTTTCTGTTGTTTCACGTCTGGCCTCACTGCGCAGTTTTCGACGTTGTGAATGTGGATTCCACGTTCATACATGCACATTTAGATCAGTTTATCACGCAGACAACATGTTGATATTGATTACAGTTTATTCATTTTTGAAAATCTGACGAAAAACGTGGCCGACCATTGCAGGTCTGCTCTGTATTTAAAAGCCCTTTCAAAACTGACTGCGACGCCACCTTTTAACTCTTGTTTTCGGAGTAAAAAAACATGACGCCGACGAGGAAGAACCGCTAAAAGACGGATGCCCCGTACAGCCAATGGGATATCAAACATTCCACGTTAAGTCCGCCTTCATTTGAAACTGACCAATTGCCGCCATGGACGGGAACTTCCGGCACGGTAGATGGAGCCTTGTCCATTGTACGAGCTGTTTCCCGAAAGAGTGCCGCGATTGTTGAGCTGCAGTCTGATAAATCTGTGGTTTCTTTTTTTTTTTTTTAAAGTTGTCTCGTTTGCTGTAGCCGGTTGTCGCGTTTGACCTCGGAATATGTTGGGATATGTGAATCTTAGGGAGAAGTAGCGGGTTGTTTACGGGTTGAACCGCGGTGACGCTGGGCTCACCATAGGAATTTGTTCGTTAGCTGCACACAGCTCAACCACCTTGCGGTCCGAGCTAGCACTCGAGCTAGCTGGACGTTAATCACCGCTGTGGTGTGGTGTGGTGTGGGTGTGACGGGGAGGGGGGATCTGTGGGGGGAATATGTATTTAATTAGAAGGCATCGCTTTTAAAAGCAAGTCGCCAGTGTCTAAAACAAACAAGGGGGCGGTTAGCTTGGCGAACTAGCCACTTAGCAGAGTTAGCTAATAGCTAACGTTACCGGATTGTCTTTCACAAAAGGGCACCACAACAGATTTGGTAGCCAGACTCGAGCGGTTTTCTGGGTTTTTTTATTTTATTTTTTTGCACTACAATAGTACAGAATGAATGGATTCAGCACCGAAGAAGAGAGCCACGATGGACCGCAGCCGCTGCCGTTCTACGGACAGAGCTGCTGTCTGATCGAGGACGGGGAGCGCTGCGGCCGGTCCGCTGGAAACGCCTCCTTCAGCAAGAGGATCCAGAAGAGCATCTCACAGAAGAAGCTCAAGCTCGACATCGACAAAAGCGTAAGTGGAATTTGTTGTGACCACGTTATTCTGTTATGAAACTTTTAAATTAGCGTGCGTGAGTGAGTGTCAGACGATAGCTCAAAGTTAGCTATAGCTGTCATCTGTCAGCTAATGCTAATTAGCCGGTCAGCGTCGAAAAAATAAACAAAAGATCACAATCGTATATGTCCTTTTTATGCTGGAAGTGGCGACGTGATTGTGGTGTTGTGTGTGTGTGTGTGTGTGTATGTATATATAGCTATATATGTTGTGACTTCGTCCAAATGTCAGGCTAACGTTAGCTTCGCTAGCTACCTGGACGACGTACAGGGCAGCAGACTCGCCGCTCATTGTAATAGTTTTCCTCTAAACACGCCTCCCCTGCTCTTCATAAAATGGCTGTTGCCAGGGAAGCCAGCTGTGTTGTTTAACCTTAGTCCCGTCAGAAGTAACCCGGACTCATTTCAAAGGGGCACAAACCAACCAGCGTTGGTTAAAAAACTACTACGACATGCGCACACTTTAGCTGCAAGTTTCGCTTAAAGCCACATTGGACCTCGTCGTGGCAAGTTTGCTTCTGTCTGTAGTTTTGCTATTTTTTTTCACTGCTTTCCTATTGTATGTTGGTATCTTTTTAAATGACAAACGCCCTTTACGGCCTACCAAACGTCAACACGTGTGTTATTGGCCCGAACAAAGTGAGAGAGAAACATACAAAGACACATAACCAAAGCTGGATCGTCAAACCCAGACCCTCCAAGCTCCGGGGGGTCTCATTCATAAAACAGTGAGTAGGATCCACACTAACGTACTTGCATTTACGCACATATGCCCAAAACAATATTTATAAAAACCTTGCGTAAGCAGGCCAGTGAGCTATTTCCCTTTTTTTCTTTTCTTTTCTTTTATTTTTTATAAATCTCAAATATACATTCAACCATAAACTGTCAATGCAAAGCACCTTCTGAATGTTGATGCATCGAGCCACTGGGTCTCACTACGTTCACTCCCAAATGTTTCCATTAACGTAACTTGTCAGAGTCTCACCGTAGTATTTAGATGTTTACAGCAATCACGACTGATTGCGACAATCTGTGAATATATAACTTTTATAAGTTTGATAGGTGAACACAATTCATTGACTTATGTTTTCTTGATGATTATGGAGTGATTGTGCGGGAGCGGTCACTGGCTTTTATTATCAGACACTTTGCTAATTTACACAATCCTTATGTGCAGGTGGAGACGATTTGCCAGGTGAGATGACTGGAGAAGGTGTGTGACAGTCACGATGGTGACTCCTCTGCTCCAGTGAGCTCTGATACTCGCACCGGATAGCTGTTTACAGTTTGTCTGTGTACAGTATGCTGTTTGTCACTTTGGAATAAACCATAAATTAATAAAAGTCATGTTCACACAGAAAAAAAAAAAAAATATGGAAACTAACTACAATTTGAAATGTGCTCACTAGCACAAATAACACGGTGGTTTGACTGTTTATGAAAAAGAGAATATGTAAGTGTGCGAGAGGCGTCGTTATTTGTGTAATGGTGCCTCTCGCATGTGATTTCTACAATCTGGCTTCAATTCACCACCTCACCATCTGCGTTGCCAGTCTCCCCCGTGTCTCAAAGTGTTCGTACGCATGGCTCACATTTTCCGCACATTCTCCCGTCAACTTATTTATTTTTTTATAGATCGCGACATTCGCGTAGGAAGTGGCGTATGAAAGATATCCCTCGCAGTGTCCTAGAGACTTCAAATGTCTTGTTTTGTTTGGCCGTACAGATCTACGCTGATGTAACACAAGACGCAGAGCATCAGAGGCCAAGCTGCACCCGTCCAATGCTTTTTATTGTAATGTTCCAAATGATTCATTTGATATTTTCCGCTAGTCAACTAATCCGTGAGTGGACCAATGGTTTTCAGCAATGCGATATACACTGAGATTTTAATCTTAATTTAGTCTATGAGGTCCACATGTTACAGCGTGTATCGCATAAACCTGTTTCCAATGTCGTCTTCAGGTGGACCTTTGGACTAATAAACGCTTCTCAACAGGAAAATGCGTTCAAAACAACACAATGGACGCACTAAAAACAAACTTAAGTTTGAAAATCGGTCGGTAGGGACGTCCTGCTCAATGGGGGCCCGGGGCCCTTTAGCACACAGCGGTGTCACCTACGCATGCAGGGATGTCTAATGAATGTTGTTGTTTCTGCTGCTTTGTATAAGTATATCCAGGATCCCTTTTTATCCTAGAAAATGACTTTGTGCCTAAACTAGTATAACCGGAGGAAGAAGCTCCGTGTGTTCTTTTGTTTGTCCGGATGTTTTTACAGGCATGGTGGGATTCATGTCACAAATCGCGTGTTGTGGCCCCGAGGAATCAATGCACGTTAACAGGGGCCAGGATTGATGTTGCATTTTCAGCTGAGGCAGCACATAACGCATCAAAGCAAGCTTCTGTTGTTCAATAATTGGCATTACAACCAACCAATCATCAAACACGGTCGAGTACAGAGTTCTTGTGTGCGTCTTTGATTAGTTACTTCCTGTTTTAAGCCACAGCTTTGCCACTTTTGTACTAGTTCATCTTGGCAAAGCTCCTGCACGGCTGCCTGTGATGAGATGACATCAAACACTGCTGTTTGAATCTCTGTTTGGTTAAACATGCGTTTGATTAAAGTCGTAAAATATCTCAGAGGTGGGTATCAAGTATCGTTTTGATATCGGGACAGAAACAGGTGTCACATTGAGATAATGATGCATTTTGGCCTAGTCTGCTGGACACGCTGATGCTGTGTGTGGCTGCCAAATTACAAAGAGTTTTGGTACGTGGCAGACTACTCCTTTTTACTACTCACTATTGTCATTGTAGGTGAGACACCTCTATATCTGCGACTTCCATAAGAACTTCATCCAGAGTGTCCGCAACAAGAGGAAGAGGAAGACCAGCGACGACGGAGGAGAGTCCCCGGAGCATGACGTGGAGGTGCCTGAGGTAACGTGGGCTCAAATGTTACTCTCGGCACACACATCAGCTACAAGTCCAGTAGAGAACGGGGAACGAAGAAAACACGATGACAGGGGAACCTTAAAAACACCCCAAGTCGTGGTGGAATTGTCCTGCTTGCTGAACCAGCATTACTCTTTTTAAGAAACATTATTTTACTCAGTCGTGCTTTTTTTTTTTTTTTTTTTTTTTTTTTTTTTTTTTTTTTTTTTTTTTAGTGTTTACTGCCGCAATGACCCCATTTCTCCACGGAGATCATTAAATAATCATCTCCACAGAAAAAGAGGCAGAAGTAAATCATCGAAAATGTGTCGGAGTTGGAGGCGGCAGTAAACGTTACCGTGCCTCCATAATTCGCTGACTGGCCGCGTCCCGCTCGCTGCTGTGTTTTCAGGTCGACCTCTTCCAGCTGCAGGTGAACACGTTGAGACGCTACAAGCGACACTACAAGCTGCAGACCAGGCCCGGACTCAACAAGGCCCAGCTGGCAGAGGTAAAGGCACACACAAACCTCCATGTGCTAAAACTCCTTCACAGCTTCATTCCCCTGGATTAGCGGCTTCAGTGTGAGTGAAGAAGACATAAAGCTCGCAATTTGTCCAAAGTCCAAAATAAGCCGCGGAGGAACAATACCTTAATAAGACATTTAGCGCAGTCCTGCTTAAAAGGTGGTCAGCTAGCTAACGTTAGCAGAGGATGCATCGATTAGTCGACTAAACTATATACATATAGTCCATTAATAAGTTCTTTGGTCGACGACAGCCCTAATTGATATTATCTTGGTACACAAAATATGCTTCTAGTCGGCATCAGTTCTTTAAAGAAATGTAATTTCATAACTTTTTAAGTAGCACCTGGGGAGGAAGCTCGTCTTCCTTTGGAATAATCGGGCTCATATTGTGTACCGTTAAAGGCCGCTGAGCTGCCCTCATTAGGCCTCTTTCTTCTCCACGTTACTCATTTGCCGTGATATACGTAGTGTGGCGGCTCCTGTCCCACAGTAATTGGACACGGAGAGAGATTGTTCGACCAATTTGCCGAATCGACAGGTGTGATTGGTGCAGCTGGCTCGGCCCTCCTCTTTACAAGAACCTCCTGTGTGTAGTGCTCTCCGTCGTATGTGACTCGACAGTGGGAATGAATGAATGAACGAGGGCTGTAAGTTGAATGTTTCCCCAGGCTTTTAGTCGGTTAGGCCCTCCTATTAATGAGCCTCCCACACCATTAATAAAGCAGCCCACAACCAGTCACAGCTGTCCCCGATCACAAGAACCAGCGAGAGGATGTTTGTTTTCTTCTCTTTGAGGCAAACATCCGGTAATAAGTCTGCATTAACAGTCTACCTCTGGAAAATATTTACTTTTTTTTAGCATCTTCAAAGATTTCAGTAGTTCTCAGTTGATTATATTTGTGAGCAGTTGAGTGGAAGTAAAACAAAAGTCCAGCATACGACATCTGAAAATGTTTATAACGATTAAGGTAAGCTGGTATTTAGCATGAGATGTTCCCTCCGTGGTGTGAAGGTTTGATAAGTGGCCGGTAGATGAGACAGAGGGATACTCTCAATGCATTTACGGGAGGAGTTGTTGTTTTATGCAATCTTCAACAGAGAGGAGTGCAACTTGGTCACAGAAAACGTATTCTAGCAGAGCTCACATGTAGGGCTGGGTATCGTTTAAAAACTGATGACACCAATACCAGTAGTCTAACCTACGAAAAACAGATGCACAGTCCTTCCTAAAGTCCAATTATGTAGCTTTGTTCCCAAAATCTAAACTAGTTTCCTGTGAAGATGGAAGTTTATTTTGAAACAAGTGGAAATTGACACGTGTTGCTCTGTAAAATGAGGAATAGCGTTTGGTACGGTATCATAAGAACCGTTTTGAGGCCAGGTGGAAGTTCTGCTTTGGGAAACGTCGTATAAATATAAACCATCGTATGGGAAGCAGGAACCTAAAGACCGGACAATTACTGAGAATAAATTCTACATAGATGAACATTTTAAGCTCTTTTTTTTTTTTTTTTTTCCTCCTTCCTCTGCAGACCGTGAGTCGTCACTTCAGGAATATTCCGGTGAACGAGAAGGAGACGCTGAGCTACTTTATTTACATGGTGAAGAGCAGCAAGAGCCGCTTGGACCAGAAAGGCGACGGCGGCGGAAAACCGCTGGACTAAACTTCGCAGCGACCGCAGCAGCAACGAAAATCAACAATAATTCACAACTTCCCGCAAAAAAAAAAAAAACCCACCTGGCCACCACTAACAGCGGCATCAACAACCCAAAAGCAGCTCCTCCTGCAGCCCTTTCTGCCGTCCCGCTCCTCTGTAAGACCAGAACACGAGCTCTTGTTGTCCTCGGAGGACGTTCAACGCAATCGGAGGAGAATTCAGGGTGGGATGAGTCATCTTCTTTCCGCTCATTTTGCCCTCCTCGCATGTCGTCACAATGGTCACCTCCTCTCCTCCGCAAAAGCCGGGTCTCTGAAGACCGTCGAGGACCAGGACTCACTCCGCAGGGGGCTTCACGTCGTCATGCTGTAGTGTAAACTGTCAATATGTACAAAAAGAACGGCGTGGGATCCTTCGTAAGTTAGTTGAATGCAATGTACGATATAGCTGCCTTAAGAGTGAAAAAGATCTTTTCGGTAATCGGGAGTGTTTTTTTTGTTTTGTTTTGTTTTTTGTCTGTCGACGCGTCCGCAGAGAGGAATGCTTGTGCCTCACAGAGAGGAATGCTTGTGCCTAACAGAAAAGCTTGGGATTGAATGATGAAGAGTGGGGATCTTCTTCTTGTTCTTGTGAGTGAATGAATTGTTGGAAAGGGGCGCTGCCTGCCTTCGCTGAAGTTACGTTCAGAATATCAGGGCTCCAAGTCGGTTTAAATGGCACAGAGTTCACATGAAAAAAAAGTCAATAATGTTTAAAACAAAATGAATTACAAGCTGATCTCAGTCCTGATATGTAATCTCTTAGTCGCCCCTTTCCTCCTGGACGTGGTGCGTTGGAAGACCGATGGTGGTGAATGATGTAGCATTTGGCTACGACCCGCTCTTCTCCTTCATAGCTGTTGTATGTATGTTTGAACACACACGTTCTAAATTCTTTTTTTTTTTTTCTTTAGTTCAGCCTTAAGTTGTCTGTGTGAAAATATGATTTTAGGTTTATCCATCTTCTTTTTTTTTTCCACCTGAAGGTGTGTGTGTTGTGTGTGTGTGTGTGTGTGTGTGTGTGTGTGTGT